ATTTTTCGGTAGAAGAAGCATTCGTAAGTAGAGGTACCACTGTATTTTCCTCTGAGAATTGCCATGACGTGGACTAGGGAAGCAATCCTGTCAAGCAATGATCTAAAGGCAATGTGATATTCAGGGAAATGTTGGTATTTTAAGGTCTTTCCATCTTCCTATGGACCTCTCCTGGTTGAAAACTTGCTCTTGAGAATTTTTCTGCCCTCTTGAGCAGATTTTTTAAAGGATGCATGGAGGGTAAATTTAGGGCCAAGGAGGAGATTGTCCCCCTCCTGCTTGCATTCTCATTGTGAGCACACTGGCTATAATGAATAAATGACTCAAGAGTCCAACAAAAATGAGTGGGATATCCTTTTGCATTTATATGTTGCTGTTTTAAAAACGTTGCTTCACATGTCAGCAATCCAAATACCAGCTTAACAACATAAGTTGCATTTTTATGCAGTAAAATCAGAGCGGAGCTGTGGAACAGGGATGAGTCTGTGGGCAGCATGCAAATCCCAAGACTGTGAGGCACTTCAGATTTTAAAAATTATTTCATTCAATCACTCCAAGCAATTTTTCCATAGTTCCCCCTGCTAGGCATTTTAGGCTTTGGCCTCTATTGATTACAGCTAAATTGCTGAGAAGGAGATGACTGAGTGAGAAGTGATGTAAGAAGAAGGGGAGTCAAATCTGGGGAAAGGAAAGGTCAGCATAGAGGAAGTATACAATAGTTTTATCTGTCACTTCCATAATTGCTTGGGCATGTGTTGTTGCTCTTCTCCACTTTTGACATAGGTGACCTCCACTTTTTTGAGCCTACTGGGTGGGTGGAAGAGAGAGTCATAGTTCAAATATGTGGTCCAACAGATGTTGTTGAACTTCATCTTTCATCACTTCTAGACTGTGTAGACAACAGTGAGGCATGGCAGCAGTTGTAGTTCAGTCCCATCTGTTGTTACATATTTCCAACTCCTAAGCCATTGCTCTTTCTTCCATTTAAAATATTGGTTTAGCACATCAGAATGAAACAGAGTAGTTAGGAGGACACTTAGGAACTGGGACTTCACCATCCTTCTTATTCTTGACCCCAAAGCAAGATGAATACCATTGCCCATGTTGTTCATGGTAGCAGAGAGCTCATTATTGACCAGCTGTGAAATAGTGAAACCAGGAAACATAAACTGGGTTAACCAA